CTCTGACATGGAATTATTTTACGGAGATGAAATTCCATATGTATTGCGAAACTTTACAGCAATTCTAAAATTGTTGTTCATGACCCTAAGTATATATTTTCAATTATAAATTTATATAGAGTCAAAATTACTAATGTGTATATATTTATAAATTTATATTATAATTTATAAATTTTTATGCAATAGTATTCAATATAAATTTTTGACAAAGTGCTTTATGCTAAACGTTAGCAATTTATGAAATTCGTATCAAAAACTCTTGAAAACGTCTCGCGATGAACTTTTCAGAAAGTCGTAGCAATTAAACATTCATTTACGACACCGCCTAATCATTAGTGAGTAATTAGTTCTCCGGCAACGAGACACACAGATAGTTAGTAGGAAAGGGAGTCACCTAGTATTTCAAACTACAGAACAAACGCGTAGTAACACCGTTTTGTACTTGCATCGTCAAGGTGCACATTAAAAGCTCCGGTGCGAGATCAAAGGACGCCGCAGACTCCGGTTGCAACTGAACTAACCGGGATGGTACCGAGCTCCGAAACGCGCCTTTCGAAAGATAGTTGTCGCAGAATACAATAAAGGTCAGCTTATTTATTTATCTTACCATATTTACTATTTGAAATGATTTGTTATGGAAATTGAAAATGTTTTTTTTCAAGTTTTTTGGACTTATGATGATGCTGACACTGAATTGGAATTATGTGTATATATGTAGTATAAATAATCATTATCAACTCATAAATGTATAAATATAAGCAGACTCTTATTTGATATATGAATTAATTCTTAATAATTTAGTAATAATTAAGTATTACTATGTATTGCTTAACATCTTCAGCAATTCTACAATCACTAATAATGATCCTCAATTATATACAATGCTTTTTAAACCGAAATTCATGACGAGATAATCGTACAAGATTACTGAATGTAAACAACAAAATTATTTATAAAAATCATGCTGAAAATTAAAAGCAGTTAATAAAATTATATAAATATTATTGAGTATTAGTGTAGAAAGTTAAAAATAAAAAATACTAAAGGAGCTTCTGATATATATCAGACAAGGTTACTTAGATTAGGCTGAAATTTATTATCAAAAATTCAAAATATTATTATATTGATTATTGAGTGCTAAAATTAATTAATTTGCTGAATTTCGACATGATAGATCAACATATCAGAGAAATTTATCAAAGGCACAATTATTGTAAGCAACTTCTTGAAATATAGAGAAAAGAAGTCCAAAGTTCAAAATTACAGTTCAAATTACATTTAAATTTTATATTGAGATTTTGTATAGTTCAAGATTTTATACGATATATACGATTTTTCAAATAAGTTCATATTTTTTATATTCAAAAAGGGCAATTTGAATATCTCCTAAAATTTGTATGGTCTAGTTTTTCAGAAATATTTAATTATAGTAGAATATTTCATACTAGTATAAGATTCATGATGAAATCGGATCATTTTAATTCAACAAATAATATTTTTAAACTCTCAAATATATCTATACAAATTTAATTTCATTCTCTCAAAATACTTTTGAATTTTGTGTAGTTACACTAGAAGTTTAAGCTAAAGTCTTTACATTTATTCCCTAATGACAGGCAGCTGTAATAGTCACTATTTTTTTATAAATAAACGATAATAATTTGAGGAGATTTAAATAGAGTAACCAAATTATAAATGTCATGTTCTTAAAATTTATAAATCTATATACAGTTTAGTTTGCTGCCTAAATCAACTTCATCTTTATTTCTATTAAATCAAACTATCAAACGTTTTACTATTTCTATTATTGTTATTTTGTTATATTTTATTATTTTTCTAGTATTGTTTTATTATTCAGAAATTTTATTTATATTATTTATTAATTTTATTTTTATTATTATTTGTTTCTATTTTATATTAAATCATCATATTACGGATATTATTTTCATGTAAATTCTATCCTTTGTACTCTCATTCATTTAAATGTATGTTATTATTTATTAATATTACTAGATGTTAATAATTATTAAAATTTAAAAAAAAATATATAAAATCAATTTTATGCCTAATTCTCGATCACACTTGAATCAATTTACTACTAGATTTATCTATGAATTTAATCGGTCTGACCTACTTATATAAAATCCGCATCTTGCAGCCCTGGAAAACAGCAGAAGCATCGAATTGTATCGAACGAGGTAATTTGAGGCGAGCAGCCGAAACTCGCGAAAATTTCTGCGACGAATTGCAAATTATCCGACGAATTAGCATATTTTAATTAAACGTCAATTAAAACCCAACGGCGGCGGGATGCGGGATATGTTCATGTGTATACTTTACTATGAATAATGACATAGCTGATACAATTGATGGGTAACGATGGTTAAATCCATTAGTTATGCAACAACCTGCTTATGTTCAACATTTGCCTGGGTAACATATTTCAAGCTAATCAATATAGAAGTAGAGCAAATATAGTAATTGTAAACGATTAATTTCTAAACTGCTAGTTTTATTTATATACCAATGTTCAATAATGTGTAGAAGAATTGTATAGAGATACTCTACAAAAGTAGCATTTCATATTTATGAAATATTATATGTTCAATTGAATGAATCTACAATGTATGTATTTTATGTGATCCTAAATCGCACTTTGCATAAAAATTCGATATAATACCAAAACAACAAAGTTTATAACCAAAGTGTCGTGGTATTACAGGATAGATCAAATGGGTTTTTTATAACTTTATGACAAAAGAAACTTCTAAAAACCGAAGTATAGAAGCGTCTCCTTTCACAACTGCAATAAAGTGTAATAAAAATATTCGCCATATATCGCTTGTAAAAATGATGTATTACCTGAAACTTTTTTTCTATTTTATTATATTATGGTCACAAGATATATATATTAAATTAGCCAACCCCGGGGTAATATCATAGGATACCAAAAGAATTTATGAAATAAACCCGCATTACACAGTTTTCCATTCACCGTAATACATAAATATATACGATTCGTATTATAAAAGGTTGGTCCAAAAAGAAAACTTAAAAAGGTTTTGAAAACTTTTAGTCCCATCAGAGAAGTCAACGTCAACGGACCTAAATCAATCATTCGCGGTAAACGGTCAGAACTCAAACAATCCTCTTCCTACACAAATATTTTAGTTCTAAAGAATGTTTTGTTGTCTAAAATATTTGTTTATTTTTAGGAATTGATTGACTTTAACTTTTGGTAAATGCACATCTTAATTAGAAATAAGAGCTTTAAATAGGCTGATCATTTTACTAATTTTTAAGTATTTAATTAATTTTTGGACACCAATGATAACCATCAAAGTAATTAAGGTAACTACAAAGGTAATTTAAGACTATGTTTGGAACCATAGCAAATGCAACAAAATTCCTTTACCGAGGTGGACAGATGATTCAAAGCAACTGTAGTTTTTATAGTCTGGATAATTATTTCTACTAGCCAGTCCGAATGTCGACAATATCAGTTCTGTATAACGATGTTGACCACATAGGACAGACAGGAGATAGTCGGACGTTATGCGGTTAGCGACTCGACTGCGGTTTTCAGAAATACGTGGATGGATCCAGAACAATCCCTTGGTCGTCGCCTGGATAAAAGCAAATGTTTAATACTCGCTTCTAACTCTTTAACTCTATCACGAGGATGGACATTGAGGAGCTTATAGGAATCATTCAAAAAAACGAAGCGTATTTGAGCACAGAATTCACGTTTTTTAAATAAAACTATCAAACGTAATAAAAGGGATAATACCAGAGCACCAAACATATTCTTCAAAGATGATTAGGAGTCGGAGAATGCAAAAAAAGTATTAGAATAAAAACTAGATAAAATTTACTACAATTTCATGCCAACAGTTATATAATCTTATAGAAATATTTCCAATAAAACGAGTTTGAATTCGATGTTTCATTCCTTAGCAATAAATAGAAAATTCGGCTCATTTTTTTTTTTTAGTTTATGTCAAATAACTCTAAAATTGTATATAATGGCACTCCTTTTTAGTTAGCACAGCAGAAACTAGATAAAATTTACTACAATTCCATGCTAACAGTTGTATATTGACCTATAGAAATATATAGAATAAAACGAGTTTGAATTCGATTGTTCATTCTATAGCAATAAATAGCAATTTGGGACATTTTTTTAGTTTTTGCAAATGACTCTGAAATTTTATATGAGGGCACTCTTTTTCAGTTAGCACAGCAGAAACAGGATAAAATTTACTACAATTTCATAGCTACTACCCTTAACTGGCTCAGGGGATAAATCAGAAATAATGTTTCCATATTGTTTTTCATCCAAAAATTCGCAGATTCTATATATTTTTCCTAAATTGATAATCTTCATCAACCAAAAACCCATATAAAAATTCCATTACTCCGTTACATGCACGAATATCACAGCCACTCAAATTTGAATTAAAAACTTTGCATATAGAATACAGAATTTTACAAAAAGCAATAACATTCGAATGTTTGCTTTATATTCATTCACAAACTCATTTAACAGAAAACACATTAGGGGTAATAGCATTACAACGAACATGTTGGTACACATAGAGAATCGTTGCCGGCCATATAACCTACATTATTTAATATTATTCCCGAGCTGCGCTTCATCAACATTTATGGCGTAAATAAGCAGACGAGCAACAAAAACAAATTTTCACGATTTTTTGCAGAATTTTATTCCGCAGTCGACGCCGGTTGCAGTTTTCGACGCTGCATTTTTTGAAGGTTCATTTATTATTCCATTATTTTTCCGTTTCGATTTTAGTAACGTCTACCATGTTTATTCAACGACAATTCATTATTTTATACGGCGACATGTGACATGCGCCACATATGCATCATGTGTAATATTTTTAAACAGCGAATTTAATTTCAGAACTTTTTGTTTAGATAACTGCACTTAGAAATGTATCTTGGAAATTCATAGGATAAGTCATTATATAAATTACCTTGCATTTTGAGGGCCTACAGATTTCGCCTCGTATGATGAACTGGCTGTTATGGCATGATCTGGTATTCTTCCTTGCTCCATGCCTAATGCAACTCGGCATTCACCTAAAAAAAATATTTTAAATCATTAGTTCTAACATTCTAAAATTTGCAAAATAAAATACATTTATACACTACAACAACTTCTTCGTTTCGATATAATACACGCCAGTTATAAAAGCTTATTCTCATATAGATGCTTTGCTCTACTTAAAAAAAAATCACTAACAGCTCTAAAGTTCAATATTTAAACAGTCAAAACGGCACGAACTTACAACATCAGCTTCTTTATTGAATTAAATTTTTATAATTATATATTAATTAAAAATTACAATATTTTTTAATCACTTTTCTTACTAATCATAAGTACCATATTTTTAGTAAGTTTTAAATAAGTAACTTGTATTAATAATAACAAACAAATAATTACTATTATGCATTTAAATGCGATTTGTTATTTATAAACATACCAATAACACTAAAATTTTACTAACATAAGCAAAATGTGTAATATTAATTTCTTGATTAATGAAAAAAGCCTGTAAACAACCCCAGAATTTGACTCATATAGAAAAAAGAGCAACAAGAATGAAAAATGATATGAAATTAACTTTCTACTATGAAGTAGAACTCTGAAGAAGTTCTGCTTGGAATGTTAACAGTCCAATGGCTTTTTGCTGGTTGATAACCTGATAAATATCTTCAATGCCCAAAAATAAAATTGCCAAATTAGCATTGAAATACGCTAACTGCTTCTTCATTATTAATAAAATATTTAATTCAGATGAACAAAACCAGAATTTTACACATGTAGGCAAGCTGTTCTATTTTTAACAAATTTTAACTAACTAATAATTTTTATGTACTTAATAAAATTAAGTGTCAACTTAATAATTTTAAACTACAATAAATATCTGGCTTCGCCATCATTGTGCTTTTCATGAAAGATAACCTGATGTAGCTAATGGTTATATCCATTTTCCAGATCTGACCCAAGAAGTGAATCGAAATGATTTCTCCTTGTCAAAATAATTCTCATTGGCTGAAGTTAAAGTATATCATCAGTATTAGCAAAGTTCTAAAATTAAATTATACCGGGTTACATGTTGAAAAGCAACGTGGTTAAGAAGGAGTATCTTCACAACTGCTTATAGGGCTGATGAGATCTGATCACTGTTCAAGAGAAAAAATAATAAAAAATACGTGCAATATTGTGCTTGTTAACTAAAAATGGAATATACAATATAGGCCAATAAAACCAAAGATTTTCCTCATATAGACAAAACAGTTTCATTTTTAATAACTTTTACCCACAATTCAGGACCATTGTGGCCGCTGAATAACACTGTTACACGTATCCTAACTTTGTACGTTATATATGGCTTCTGCAACATAAGCATATACCGCACATAACGTAGTTTACACTACACTCTTGATATGAGAAATGCATATATTTATGTAAGTCTGTCGTATACAATGCATGACATATCTTCTCGCATAACTTTGCGATGCACCATGAGCTATATATTATGCAGGGGACGCATATTTTTTGCTTGGGGAATAAAATAAATTGAATACGACATCGTGCTTACGCCTCATTCTGCTCGAATATAACAGTGATATTAGTGTAATTTGTTTGATATCAAAGAGAATGCATTTTCATACTAAATGAAAGATATGGAAATCTACTGAAATATTCATGAAATTTACTTGATAAATAAAAATATAATTACACTGTGAATTTATAATTTACTCACGGTTTAAATTTTGTCATAAAAATATTGGCATGGGAATACAGAACACTATGAGCCAGGTCTATTTCTCAAAACTTCAATTAGTTATTATATTTGAACCACTTCTCTCAGGCCTATAATATTTTGAACTATTCGATTCGACTATCAACTTCATCACCATGCAAAGTTTCATCAAAATCCCAGGATAGCAAAATTAAAATTTTCCTTGTGAGTTCATTTTCTACCTTTTTCAATTATCCAATTTTAATCTAGTTCAATTGCCACAAGTTCACCACATCTCTCTTAAATCGCTTAAAAACTGTTCGGACAAGGGAACTCTTCACCTTACTGCAATTAAAATGCAATAAAGTGGAGCTCTACAGATATCGACTACTTTAAACTGAGAGTGTATAAAAAGCCGACAAAGAGAATACGATAATGTTCTTGTAATTCGACTCGTGGAAACAGGAAAAACTGTTAGAATTTGAAATAAAAAATTATAAAATTTTATGACTGAATTGACCATATGATTTGAGTAAAAATTTTAGTTATATTATGGAATTGTTCTATCCAGTAACCGTGCCACTATGAGTCAAGTGCCTTTTTCTATATATATAATTATTTGTATTAGTTTGTTTATTCACTATCAATCTATTTCCAATACTTGAAGATTTGTTTGTAGCAGTCACTGAGACGAGCAACATACAATATTCCTCCATACGTCCTTATTTTCTAAAGTATATTTTTATTTCTCAAAAGCAGTTTTAATATGAAACATTTTTCAATCTTGTCCACACTGTAACGTCTTAGAGGCAGACACTCTATACAATAATTACAGTTTAGCCCCACATGCATTGTTGTATTCCCCATCACTTCTGCACAGCGTTTCCGAGACCGTACCATTAAACATTAAACAACTCCGGGTGGGAAACTTCTAAAACTCCGGGCAAGGTAATATCCCGGAACACTTATACTAACGCACATGGCCGTTTCTACTCTGTCACTTTGTAATATATTAAAAAGATGTTTGCATATCTCAAATATTTTAATGATGGACAACTACTTCGAAATTGGAAAGTAGAGTTTCAAAATATAAAATTAAAAAAAAAGAAAAAAAAGTGTAACTTTAACTAGGTGTAAATAGAATTTTGCCTAAAAGACATTGACTTATTGGATATTATACAGATTAAGGAATGTAACACCGATAAAATAAATTCAACAATATATTATCTACAGATCAGCTAAACTAAACGGTTTTGTTTAAATTACCAACTTCATCACATATGGGCCTGTTTGGAAGCAATTAATTCTAAAACGCTTCAACTTCTACCCCAATGTTGACCAAAGTCTAGGTCACTCGATCACATGCGGTATTTATTCTCGTTTAATACAATATTCCAATATGCACAATATTCATTACATCGTTCGAGCAAACATTATACCGAAATTGCTCAAGTCAATAGCACTCCCACGTGCTACGTCTGGGCCGGGATCTCCCATACGGCTACGCCGTGCCTTCGTCTTTCTCGGGCATAAGGCAGCCAGGTTATCGCTAGAGAAATATAAATGCTGTCCTCAGGGAAATAATTCGAAGAGTACTGTTGCATTCGCCTTTGTTCCATAGTATGAGAATAAAAGAGATGCAATGACACGACTGAATCGTCGATAGCGAATAAATACATACACTTCGACATCTGAAGAGAAGTGTTTTAATATTTAATGTATCGAAGTAAACCGGCTTCTAAAACGGCCGCGCACAGGTATTACGATTATTGATTTTTTGAGTTCATTCCCTTGAAGTGCTCGAATGTTTTCTTGCCATTTTCGACTCGAGTACCCTCAACACGCATACAAATACATGGGAAAGTTTTTATTTATAAAACATACTAAATCAACAGCAACATTTTTAAACCAATGTAATCTCTATTGTATTAGCAGAAATTTCAATTACTAGTTAAATGATTTCAACTTGATTTTTGTTATTGTGGTGGTATTCAACAAATTTCTAATGGATCTGGTATTTTTATTCATGTAGATAGAAGAATATAATAATAATTTAAGAAACAAAATTTAGATAAATTTTGTATATTATAAAAACCTTTTAATGTGATATTCATCTCTATTAGATTGTACTTGCACATATTTTATAGACTAGTTTGAATGAGTTCATCTTGATGTTTATTATTTTGGTGGTATTTGTAATGGATCCAATTTTATTCATCAAATTATAATTAATAATGATTTGAATCTATATTAGTAGGCTAACGAAAACGTGAGCTATCACAAACTAAACCCAGAATTCCAACCTAGCTCAGCTCGATATCAAGAAGAATTATTTAATTCAATAATGTTAGTAGGATAACGAAAACATGGGCTATTACAGAGTAAACTCAGAATCCCAACCTGGCCCAGCTTGATATCAAGCAGTATTATATCAAATTTTTAAAGAAAGGAAATCGTCTTTTGTGGACTATTTGATAAACCTATATAATTCAATATGTATATTAACATAAATATAAATAAATAATGATATATTAAGTATACACATAAACAAGAAGTGTGGTGACCGCTGGATTGCCCTCTAAAAAAAATTACTCATAGAACGGATAGTTCTAATAACTATTACAAATATTAATTATTGAAAACAGTGAAATTTCAATCCGTAGAAAAATATATGCATTGTAAATATAATAAATAAATATATAAATTGAATATTTTCATTAATTTCGTGAAATTATTACCTTCAGGAATTTTCATTTTACTAAATAAAAACATTGATATATTGACAAAAATGTAAAATTACACTATTGATATAATGTATAATCAATGCCCAAATAAATTAAAATAAACTTTCATAATTCCAGTTTCATAGTATAGTTTGATTTACTATATGTATGTGTGTATATATATTATGTATATATATATATTATATATATATATATATATATATAAATAAATTAATTAAAATTCTCTACCTTCGTTCCGGCTAGTTATCACTGCCAATAAAGTGTTAATAATGGAATTTGTAACAAATTCTTGTACCGAAACTATTCATTCACATCCTTTGAACTATTTAATTTTGAAACAGCATAACATAAATTTCATTCTATGCTTGCAATACCTATTAAAATATTAATTTTAATACTAAAATTCTTCTGTTAGATATTGCTGGCCGCATTGCATATCAGTTCAAAGGAAATTATTTATTACGTTAATGGCAGAAAACAGAGTTGTGCAGATATTTCATAAATATTAAAACATTCTATACACTTATAAATACAAAAATATTCATTTATTCAAATTTGTCTCTCTGTGGTTGCTGTGATAG